GCGCCTGCCCCCCAGCGGCCGTCCCCCCCTGCCCCCTCCCCTGCCCCTCCCCGCCCGGGTGACACTCACCGCGGCCCCACAGCGCCTGGCACTGCCGCTCCCGGGTTTTGCAGCGCCCGCCGTAGCATCGTCCCTGGGGAGAGGGGGTCACGGGCTGGGGATGGGGACACCGGGAGCCACGTGCACCTGCAGCCACGGGGCCGCGCTGGGGACACGGGGCCCCAGGTGTGTCCCTGGGGACAAGGTGCAGGTGGCCAAAGTGTGGCCACCACTGCCACGCGTGTGCGCAGGGAGGGACACGGGTCTGAGCTGGGGAAACGTGTGGGATACAGGGGACAGGGTGACACACACGGGGAAGGTGCATGGCACAGGGACCACAGTGCAGGGACAGTGACACAGGGATGGTGGCACAGGGACCACAGTGTAGGGACAGTGACACAGGGATAGTGGCACAGGGACCACAGTGTAGGGACAGTGACACAGGGACAGTGACAGAGGGGAGGGGATGACAAGCTGGTGCACGGGGAGGGCTTGTGCGCCCTGGGAACCCTGGCTCACCTCAACCCTCTGTGGCTGTGTGCATGGCCCAGCACTGGGCACAGCTGCTGGCATGGCCAAGCACTGGGGTGCCGGAGCCCCCAGGGATGTGCCTGAGCTCATGGGGACCTGCTTGAGCCCCAGAAGATGTGTCCAAGCCCCACGGGGACATGCTGGAGCCCACAGGGATGTGCCAGAGCCCCATGCCCCACTACACCAGGCTGGACTCACCTGCTCGTTCTCACAGAAGTAGCCATCCAGCTTGTGGAGGTTGGGGGGGCACTGAGGGGACAGGGAGAAGGGGACAGGTGATGCCAGGTGTCCCTGCAGCACGTTCCCCATGTCCCCAGCCCGGCTCACCTGGCTGGAGTCCCCGGTGCAGCTCTCGGGGATGTCACACTCGTTCACGGCCTCCCGGCAGGCCACGCCGCGCGGCTCATACTGCACCGGGGACAGAGCCACCACGTCACAGCCCCTGCCCCAGGGACCCCGGGCGTCCCCTGGCCCCGTGGGAGGCCAGAGCCACCCCCCCTCCCAGGTCCCACCTTGCAGCCCTTGCAGCAGAGTCCGTCGCTGCACATGGCGTCGTGGGTCAGCGTGCACTTCTTGCAGCAGTTGCCCCCGCTCCTTGCACACTCCTGTGGGACACGGAGCCTCAGCCCCTGGCACGGCCACAGGAAGCGGGTCCCCAGCATGGGGAGCAGACCCCCAGCATGGGGAGCACACCCCCAGCATGGGGAGCAGACCCCCAGCACGGCCGTGGGGCGCAGAGCCCTGCCACAAGCAGAGCCCGTGCCCGCTCACCGCCAGCGAGCCGCAGTCACACTCCTCGCCCGCCTCCACGAAGCCGTTGCCACACTCCGGAGGGTCCAGGAGCTGCAGGAACCCAAGGGAGGTGGGTGGGGAGCAAGAGCTGCTGGGGGGTGTCCCCAGGCTGGGGGCTGCCACCCACCCGCCCCCCCCGAC